GATTCTATACTTGGCTTTCATCATTTGCAATGATTCTGGAGCATATTATCTTGATCCCATAGCTAGTATCATGAAGGTGTGTTCACAATCTTAAAAGTCATTATTTATTAAGCACCTTATGTAGGGAGTTGCACCCACACTCATTGTTGGCAGAGCAGCTGCAGGATACACACGGCCAACTGAAGAACATGATGAAAGTGTGACAGTGTCAACCCTTCATTTCCAGACATCTTTGCAATCTTCTCAACCTTCACAACCTTCCATGGCAAGCTTTCAGCACTCCACCATGCAGAGTGGAGTCCTTGAAGTGGACATTGAAGCCCAAAGGGAGCAGTCAGATGAGCTTGTGGTAGTTGTTGAAAGGACAGAATAGAGCTCATGGTGGACATCTGAAAGTCAGGGTGGGATGGAGACTAAATTTAGACTGTAATTTTTTGCTTGCTATCCTTTTTGATTATTGTATTCTCTACTTTATTTTTCGATCAACTATAGAGTATCTAAACTTCTGTAATCCCCTCTTTGCTTTGGATCTTTATACATGAACCTGTAGGACAGTCCTAAGGAGCCATGTTATTCCAGGATGGTCACATCAAGCAAAGATCCTTGAGTGCTATTAATCTCAAGGCGGAGCTGCCATAAACGGTCAAAAGCTATTACCTCAAATGGTTCAGTCTCAGATGTCTACTCCCATCATACATCGGAGACGACAAGCACTACTCCCCACCAAGCTCAAGCTTGCAACCTTCCAAATGCACCATCAAACCCAGGTCTGCTGAATACATCGTGAGTATCACCTTTGCTCGTTGGTTCATGCCTGACTTCATCCCAGCTGGGCGAAACGAAGACACTATTTGGTGTATGTGTCCAAGTCACTCTGACGAGGTCATGTATGACTCTCCGGTACATACTTGGGGAAGTAAAGCAGAAAGCACAGATTTGGAAACGAGGATACTTCGAGAGAATGGATAGCAGAGTGGAAAGCTGATGCATAACAAGTACAGGAACCTTTAATCATCAATCTACCTTCCATTCTTTTTGGACTGTGTCATCTTCAGTACTAACAAGTAGTTCAATAGACCACATAACTAGCATGAAAAAGATGTTAATCCAGTGCCACCATACTTGGAATGAATGATCCAACACTGGACAATGGATCAGCGATGTACCCCAAGTGAAAGACGACAAGACGCACAGAGGAGGTGAGAGTACAGTGACGAAAATCAACTGTCGATACGTCAAGAGTATCCGAGTCAACGTCAATGTCTGGAGGTGAGATTAGCGCAAGTATACACTCTGAGCTGCTCTCTCACCGGTCGATCTTCCCATCCATTATCAACGCCATCTTCATTGTCCCAACTATCGGCGCCGATACCCAGCAAGATCTTCGAAGCCAGCTGCAACACTGTCAATCAGTACAGCAAGGCAACCAGCACCGGTTTAGGCAGCGTGTTCGTAACAAAGTTGAGCAAAGTCTGAAGATGAGGAATCAGGTTTGGGAGGAGTGGAACGCTATCACGACAGTCAGCATTGGCTCCCCGAAGGATATCATGGAACATACTAGGAATACGATGGGTCCAAAGACAGCTCCTGGTCAAATCCACAAAGCCAGGCTGGAAGATTTGATGATATTCGTCTGCCTCAAAAAGAACCCGATGAACGTAAGAAAGAGCAACATGGTAATCGCAACTCCGAGAAACGTCGAGGACAGCGGGGAAGATGCAGCTGCAGGGTATGCCTGGCGAGTGCATGTAAGTCAGAACCCACGAGCGCAAGAAGCAAATGTACATTGACAATCCACCAAGCACTAGCCACATACGTCCCAGCAGAAGCAATCAACAACCCAAACTGATACATCTCCCCCTCCTCCACCAACCTCTTCTCCTAAAACCATACCTTGATACTAGCCAAGGCAGCAAATATCAGTGTAGCACTGCAAGTCATTCTGTACAGTTCAGCCCCCACGAAATCCCAGTATATTAGCCAACAGTACCTCCATCCATCCAGTCTCAAGGGCTACTACTAGCTTGTGTGTGGACAATGCTTCTTGAACTTCAGGGTAGATGCAGATGTCCAGAGGAGCTGTGTGGTGAGCTGTGCTGAACTGGGCTCGAGATGCAAGTCTTAATGAAATATTGAACTAAGAAAAGGTTGTGCAGCAACCAAATATAAATACCAACTCACTAGCGATGCATGCAACAGAGGAATTAAAAACAAGGAGCCAATTAGGAGAAATATTCCGCATGATGTGGCAACTCTAGACCTTGCCAAGAAGAAAGAGCATCGTGTTATCGAGCACTAACTCGGATGACTGACTCAGGATATTAATTAGTGACCATGTGGTTGACGCGTCACAGAGAGGAAATGGCTCCAGGGTAGAGTGTATCTATTTTCGATATTTTTATTTATATAATTAGCTGTAGATAAAAGCATGGTAATTAGAAGTAGGTAGAGAGCTTTCGAACCCCCGCAGTTGTGACACGTAGCAGAGAGCCTAGTGTGCAACCAAAGGAATTGTGTTTGTAGCTTCGAGTGAGAGAATATTATTGGATCTAGAATTATTTTGAGATGCTTGAGAGGTCACGAGGCACACCTTGCTCGCATGCAATGCCTAGCTTGATTCTGGACAGTAATTGATTGCGCTCAACTCGGAGAAATATTGTATTGTGATAACTTGAATGTGCATTTGTGTTTGCGGAACATGTTTGTGAATTCTGAGTTGTTGCAAGTGGCAGAGGTTCAAACCCTTTGGCTTGTCAATACTCTTTGAGGGTTTTTGGTTTATTCCCAAGTAGCATAGGCTCAAACCCTGTGGCTTGTGGACATGTTTCTGTGTTTCTGTGTCTCTGGATCGCATAGGTTTGAACCCTGTGGATCTACGAAAGGTTTTTGAAGTGTTTTCTGCTTAGAGCGTGAGGCTTTAAGTCATGTGTAGTTTGTTTGATGGGTTGTGGCCACCTGTGTGTTGCGCACAATGTCAATTGAGGGTTGTACGTTCTTGTGGGACATTTGTAGGCTTGTGAAATATTACTTTCGCCTCGAGGCCGAGCGATACATATCGCTCACCTCCTGTCCTAAAAGCATTTGGACTTAGAGAATTCTTTTGAGCTAGCACGCTATTATATCTTGAAGAGCACAAGACATCTTTTAAGTCTATTGTTATTGTGTGCTTGTATCACACATCTCCCCTGAACTACTGAGATTCTGTGTGTGTGTGAGTGTGAGAGTGGGTGTGTTTAGTGTGTCTACACTATCGCATTTCAAGCTTGGCATGCACAGAGCCTCTTCACTGTGCTTTGGGCTCTCATTTCTATATAATTTGCAAAGCTGGTACCCCTACAAAAATCTCTACTGGGACACAAATATCAGGATCCTTCAGTGTAGTGACATTCGGAACTGGCATCAAAACATTCCTAGATTGTGGAGTAAGACCTACTTAAGATTCACATCATGACAGAACAGGCTCATGTTGGTAGGTGCCTCACTTCAATGAACATCTTGATTCTCTTCCCAGATAGAACCTAATTCAACAGAACATATATCTGTGAAGCTTACAGTTTATGTAAGTGGCTTTCCTACAATAGAGGCTTTTCTCCAGAAATATCTTACTTTGAGTCATGTCAATGGTTGCACTTGCGAGTTGAAATGAGTTGGAAATGTCAATGTACATCATGGTTCATTAGCTCATTGAACATGTGTAAAAATCTCAGTTTGACTTGATACTAATGGATATCTTTGCAGCAGCCAATGAGCATGGCTATGTGCTGCACTGTTTATAACAGTAGGGTTGGTACATGTTATTCTCACCCACTACCCCATTTCTCTTACTTTTCCTCATGGCCACTCAGACAGATATTCCACCAGATCTTACTGACAATGACAAAGCTTTCTTGTTTCAATATCTTGATGCTATCCTGAACTCCATAATTCTCTATGCACTATTACATGGTGGGCAACAATGTTTAGCACCTTCACATGTAAGTGTTAATTGATGACAGGCATATACACTGGAATTCTTGCTGTTACATTGTGGAATATATGTGAGCCAGGGGCATCTCTATTACAACATCCAAGCTGACATGAGTTGTACAGTCATCAATAAACACCGGCTGATCCGACGAGCCTTGGTTGTCATTATTATTCTCCTTCATGCTCTCATTACTATTGATTTGGCTGCTGATTGGTCATTTCTATGCTCTTCATTCATTGAAAATGGGAAAAGTTTTTGGACTGTATTCTTGAAGCTTGACAGTGTGAACCAAGCAGTCTATTTGGAGGCAGGTACTACAGCCTCTATAAGTACCATTCTTGCAGACTCATATATTGTGTGCTACTTCACTTGTGATTATCTATGTCAGCTTACCATCTTTTCAACTCTAGATTTGGTGCTGTTGGATGGTCTGGGGAAGGCGCTGGCTTATTGTCCTGCTTCCAATCCTTTGCCTAATTTCTGCAACTGGTAAAGTATCCAATCTCATCTACTCTTTTCATATATTTAACTTTTGTGTAGTTTCAAAAATCATTGATGTATACTATGTGTACTTCATTGGATCTGACTTAGTATTCCAGACACTCTATGTACCCTTTGTCCTGGCAACAACATTATGGTGCACACTGCTCATCATTTTCCGCATTTTGACTGTTACTGGGGTCAGACATGGAGCAGGTGGCCGACTGAGAGTTTATCACCATTTTATTGAAGTGCTAGTGGAATCCTCTGCTCTCTATTCAATAGCTCTGATTCTATACTTGGCTTTCTTCATTCACCTTGATTTTGGAGCATATTATCTTGAATCTATAGCTGCTATTGCAAAGGTGTGTTCATGATCTTAAAAACTTGTTATTTATTAAGCACCTTGTGTAGGGAGTTGCACCCACACTCATTGTTGGCAGAGCAGCAGCAGGACACACACGTCCACATGAAGAACATGACGAAAGTTCAACAGTGTCTACCATTCGTTTCCAGACATCTTCACAATCTTCTCAGCTTTCACAACCTTCCATGGCAAGCTTTCAGGACTCCAACACCATGCAGAGTGCAGTCCTTGAAGTGGATATTGAAGCTCAAAGGGAGCAGTCAGATGAGCTTGTGGTAGTTGTTGAAAGGATAGAATAGAGCTCATAGCTAACATCTGAAAGTCGGAGTGAGACTGGAGACTAAATTTAGACTGTAATTTTTTGCTTGGTATCCTTTTTGATTATCGTACTCTACTTAATCATAGTTAAGCTATTACAAGATGGTTGCACCTAGCTAAACGCCCTTAATGTGCGAAGCAAGAAAGGAGGTGTTGGGGTTAACCGAACTCATCTTGTTTCTTCCTTGTCAAGATTCCACCCTGCGTTTTTGCCCTGCCATCTGGGAACGCAAAAGTTTGCAAGGACTGCCTTTTGGAACCCCAAATAATGGCAGGAACATCTTCCGATGCGATATCCGGAGAATATTTTGAAAGGCGAGGTAGCAGATTCTGGTGCATCACTCGACCACAACATACGTTGTCTTTCTGGTCTAATGAAGATCATTGGGTGCTACTAATCTCGAGGCGGAGCTGCTGTAAAACGGTCGGAAGCTAGATATCACCTTGAATGGTTCAGTCTCAGACGTCTATTCCCAAACAACAAGCACTACTCTCCACAAGCTCAAGCTCGCAACCTTCCAAATGCACCGTCGAACCCAGGTCTGCTGAAGACATCGTGAGTATCACCTTGGCTTGTTTGTTCATGCCTGACTTCATCTCAGCTGGGCGAAACGAAGACGCCATTTGGTGTACGTGTCCAAGTCGCTCCGATGAGGTCACGTACGACTCTGCGACACATAGTTGGGGAAGTAAAGCAGAAATCACAGACTTGGAAATGAGGATACTACAAGGGAATGGATGGCAGCGAAGCAGAGTGGAAAGCTAATGCATAACAAGTACAGGAACCTTTAATCATTAATCTACCTTCCATTCTTTTTGGACTGTGTCGTCTTCAGTACTAACAAGTAGTTCGATGGACCACATAACTAGCGTGAAAAAGATGTTAATCCAGCGCCACCATACTTGGGATGAATGATCCAACACTGGACATTAGATCAGCGATGTACCGAGTGAACCAGGAGAAGACTTACAGAGAAGGTGAGAGTACACAGTCACGAAAATCAATTGTCGGTACGTCAAGAGTATCCGAGTCAATGTCAACGTCTAGAGGAAAGATTAGCGCAAGGACATAAGTATACACGTTCTCTCACCGGTCGATCCTCCCAGCCATTATCAACACCATCTTCGTCGTCCCAACTGTCGGCGCCGATACCCGGCAAGATCTTCGAAGCCAGCTGCAACACCGTCAGTCGGTACAACAAAGCCACCAACACTGGTTTAGGCAGCGTGTTCGTAACGAAATTGAGCAAAGTCTGGAGATGAGGAATCAGGTTTGGGAGGAGCGGGACGCTATCACAGCAATCAGTACTGTCGCCTCTCTGAAAGGTAGAGTAGTACATACTAAGAATAAGACGGGTCCGAAGATAGCTCCTGGTCAAATCCACAAAGCCAGACATTGTACGCCATGAACAAAGCCAGGCCGGAGGACTCGATGATATTCGTCCGCCTCAAAAAGAACCCAATGAACGTAAGAAAGAGCAACGCAGTAATCTCAACTCCCAGAAATGTCGAGGACAGTGGGGAAGACGCAGCCGCAGGGTACGCCTAGCGAGCGCGTGTAAGTCAGAACCCACGAGGGCAAGTACTAAACGCACATTGACAATCCACCAAGCACTAGCCACATACGTCCCAGCCGAAGCAATGAGTAACCCAAACTGATATATCTCCCCTCCTCTACTAACTTCTTCCCCTGCTGCCCCAGCTTCTGGACCACCACCAAACTCCAGAGGCCCTCCAGGGCAATGAACAGCGGGCCCATGCATGTGAGTATGGTGCCCTATACGGAGGTGGCGAAGCCGAGCCATGGGTGGACGGAGGCGGAGAATGCATTGAAGCAGACAAGCAGGAGGAACAGGTGCATCGGAACATGGAGGAGCGAGAGCACGGGGGAGCCCCAGAAGAGGATGAGGGTGCCGTGAATGGTGGCATGCACGGTGAGGAGGAGGGAGAGCAGGAGGAATGTGGGCCCTCTCCAAGCCAACCTTGATGCGTCCCCCAACGATTCCAATAGTAGCCGGGACGTAACCCATGGATCTGACAATGTCTTCGAGGTCTGACGAGAGGGTGTAGTTGATCAGGTGGGGGAACCCATGGGTGACGAGGATAGTCTCGAGAGCGACGACAGGTTTGTGTGTGGATAAGGCCTTCTTGGACTTCGGGGTGGATGTCAAGGGGGGCGGTGTGGTGGCGGGCGAAGCGTGCATGAGTGAGGATGGTCATGGTTGGTGTTAAAGAGCGGTGTTCATGCGTTCTGAGCGTGAGAGGACCGGCGGACGCCACCATAATACATCACCATTTGCGGCAGTTGATGAGATGTCAGGACCTCGAGAGCGGGCTGAATGAGGCTATTCTGTGGAGAAATGGGTGCGCTGTCGCCGATAAAACTCTGCATGAGCCAGGTCCGCCTCCTTTGATTATGTAATCACTACACTCGAACATAATCTTGTATTTAGCAGAGTCGACCAATAGTAACTGTTTCAGTGTTACACCCTCACTTTCCTCCCTTGCAGGGTCCAAAAGAAATAGCCAGTCTTGGGACTTGCCCAAGACGGCTATTCAAAATACTGGGACCCCACCATCATTCCATGGGACCTCTCCAGGCTTGTCCGAGTGACTCTTCAACCAGAAACCGTCTCCGAGTCGCGCGCGCTGTGCCTGAATCCTCGCAAGCATGCCTGCACTCCCTGCGTGCACAAGGGCGTGTGCGTCCACCTGCACTTGCTCGTAAACTCAGATTTCCGCGCACGAGGGTGTGGCTCCGCAAGCGTTCGGACTCGAAATTCTTGGTGTTTTGGAAACTGCGAAAATGTGAGGTGAATGTAGATTAAAACGTCACGTACCTGGCTTTCCTGAGAACGACTTGGCTCTGCGGTCGTGTCTCACTCATCTGCAAGAAAACCCGCTTAAAATTCGAGCGGAATTAACAAAAAATAACCCAAACTCACATTTACCTTTATTTTCTCGATGCGTCTCTGCAGGGTTTTAGTCTCGAAAATTTCGTGGTCGAACTCGAACCCAGAACGCGTAAAAGTTTACCGTAATGATATCAAAAATACGCCAAATAACAACTTACCGCGTATTTGACATCGAGTCAAAATGGAGAGCGGCGGAAAGAGCTTGATGAGCGTGAGATCAGCTCCCCGATGTTCACATCCCTGCAAATCAACTTCTGTCCCTGTGAAAAGAATGAGAAAACAAAGAAATTTCCCACCAAACAACTTACCTCGCTCGCCGGAAGACGATACATATACTCCAAACCTAACAAGCCTTCCCGGCACATGTTCAAGCTCAGATCCTGGAGAAAGTCCTTAGTAAGGATAGGAAACGCGACTCGTCAAGTGAACATACCTTGCTCGCCGGACGAAGATGCATCGTCTCGGAGTAATCCTGGTCTTGGTTTGATTTCAGTATCTTCGAGCCAGTGTCAGTGCTGATAATAGTTTAGTGATGACTTACCTCACTCGGCGGATGGAAATACGTCGTCTCAAAACAACTCCTGCATTAGTAGGAGTTCGGCAGCTTCAAGCTAAAGTCAGTATATTGATTATTTATCGACAGGAGCAAAGGCTTACCTTGCTCGGCGGATGAATATAGGTCGTCTCGACGCAACCCTCGTGTTGTTTCCAGGTCAGCAGCTTCAAGACAATGTCAGTGATGATATTGAGTTATTGACTTGATTGAATACTTACCTCGCTTGCCGGACGAACATACATCGTCTCGGAGCAATCCTGGCCATAGTTTGATTTAGCTTCGAGGCAAAGTCAGTGCTGATAATAGTTTAGTTTAGCGAAGACTTACCTCGCCTCAGCGGAGGGAGATACGTCGTCTCGACGCAATCCTGGCATTGGTTGGATTTCGGCAGCTTCAAGCTAATGTTAGTGGTGATATCGAGTTATTGACTAACTGAAGACTTACCTCGCTCGCCGGATGGCGATAGGTCGTCTCGGGGCAATCCTCATGTTGTTTTCAGTTCAGCAGCTTCATATCGAGTTATCGACTCAAACGAACACTTACTTCTCTCGCCGGACGGCGGTACGTCGTCTTGGGATATACGGAGTTCGTGATGACAACAACTATGGATTGATATGTGAGCACATTTTCTTTAGACAAAGATAATAAACGGGACTTACATTAGCTAGCTGGATGGTCACCTATCATGTCTACATGATCTACAACAACCGAAGCTAGACTTGAAGGACAGTAAGTCACTGAGCTCACCAAAATCCCCGGCCTTGAATAAAGTAGCGACAGAAACTAATCGGCTGTTAGTTAGTTCAGTTCTGAAACTGGTAGCTGCAGGCCAATACTCACCTTGGAAATCTAAACACGCTCTGCTCCGCAAATTCTACGTGAGTTGACCCATCCAGGAGACCTAGAGGTAAGAAAACGACGTGAACGTCGCGTCACATGTCGTCCGTCACGAAAATTCGACGCTTGAGGCCGTCTGGAGAGCGAAGGATTCAGCCAAGGTATCAACTCAGCGGAACACGTACCATAGCTTTGCGGTACTATCAACACTCTAAACCCAAGGTCATGAGCATAAGAGCGCACGATAGGAAGGGGTAAAATTTACCGTGGTGGTGAGAGGAAGGAAGTGTACACCACGTGGTTGATCAAATGTCGTTGATCCCGATATGGGCATCAACGCCCATAACTCCACCCCATATTATTAACCATCGAGGACAAGTGGGAGGCAGCAGGGTGCGCTGATTATATGCCAGATGGCGTAGAGGAGAGAGATCAGGAGGAAGGGAAGAGTGGGAGACGGGAGGTTAAGTTGATGGAGGTAATGGAATAAGAGGGAAACGGTTTGACAGGCTGTCGGCAGGACTCGACGACAAATTCACCAAGAGAAATCAACAAGATCACGGGGGTGGAGACGCGACAACGGGATACTTTGGCGGCTGGGACACCTGTCAAAATCGCTGAACTTCAAATATCTTGATGGCACCAAAATTACATCCCCCATTTTTAAGAAGCGTTCAAAACTCGAATCCACCTTCGAAACATGTATGCTATTCCGAATAAAATACGAATACAACAGTGTGTAATCCTGTCACTCAAACTCGCTATAGAAATATGCTCGAATACCCGAACGTCCTACCTGCAGATTTCGCGATCAAATGTCATGGGTGACTATGTGCCCGAGTCATGAACGCGTGTGTCTAGATATACAAACAAATAAACGTACGCCGTTTACTCTTCCTCCCTGGTCCATGCCAACAGTCGCCATTCTTGACTCCGAAGCACGTCCAGCCTGCACCTCTCCCGAAATCTTGAAGTTGACCGAGTACCACCGATTCAGACTTAAATTTCCATCGTGTTCTCCAATCCCCTGCTGGAATATTTGCACAGGTTCGAGAAGATCCTTCCAGGAAAAGTGAGTCAACAGAAAAACATGAAACAGACACGCACCCACCACAGTTTTCAGGTATATTCAGCTCCATATCCCCGTACCACAACGATGAAGGTCACTTGGATTTCCTGACCGACTAACTCTCAAGCTTACCAGCTTGTCTCTCTCGCTCAACAGCCTTCTTAGACTCCCCAGTTACTATCCGTACCCTCGCAAATCCGATATGACCCATTTCGAATGTCCGACATTGAAACAGCGAGCTTCCAAGACATCCGGTGAGCGGCGGGAAAATTTCTCAGAGACGGCGCACCCGACATCAAACAGAGGATCCCAGGCATTGAGCGCAGCAGTCGCTTTGGTAAGACGCGTCTGACCTGGCGCGAATACAGTGGACCCGACGGGATTCAGACAGCCGGCGGGATGTGCAGCTATAGTCGCCTCATCTCAAGATCATGAACTCGAATTCAAATTCGACCTTGACGGCGGCGCGCCAGGGGATGATTTTCTCTTGCCGTGATCAAGGCTTCAAGTCTGACATGCAAATCCAGGGTCCTCCGACGCCATGTTCGGAGCCACTCTAAATGGATGGTGAGTAAACAAGTTGATGGGTGATTGACATGGTTACTTACCAATGTCTTCTACGCAGTCTGCGTGATATCCTGCTCGACGTGAGGATGCAGTGCGCCACCCCCAAGAAAGTACGCTTGCGAGTCTTCGAATGCTTGCCGTCGCCCGGGTTTCATTCCTTAAGTTCCTATCCGCACTAAATTAACAGTGAGTCATTCCAAATTGAATTTTGAGGTCGCTTACATTTGAGGACCGTCTAATCCAGGGGCAATCGTACTGCTGGCTGAGAAACTCCGAGTGATCTTTGTCGCTGTAAGTCTGGAAGCAATTAATCTTGGTCGACTAATGGGTACCTGGAAGGTTTGCCAGTTTCTGAGCTTGATGCCGCTGTTGAGCAGTCAATACTGAGTCATACACGATAGAAGTATGTTCTCGATCCATTTTGGGTGCCATAAAGTGACGTTGATTCATAGAGTCCCATTCAAAATGAACCCGGTGATGAAACAAGAGAGATCTTGGCTCGAAACAGATCTTCTCGTGAGCAATGGTAAGTCAAACCATTGAAATCCGGCTTGCGATCTTTAATTCTACGGTTTCAGGGACTTGATGTAGAAATATGGGCCGGCATCTGTGGGAGAAGACGAGATAAATAAATGTTCAGGTGAAATTAGGTACCGGGAATTGAGGTAGAGCACGGGAAATTGATTCTGGGTCTGTAGGCGTCAACAGCTTCGATCCACAGGTGTTAGATATACATGTAGCGTGCTTATTTTATTGAATAAAACATAATTTCCGCAATACTTGAGTGAACAAATCAGAAATGAACTCATTACACGTTCATATAACAGAGACGACGCTTACTTCCGGGCTCATGGGGAAATTTGTTCCAAAATCCGGCCTAGTTGACTACCCACTTCACTAAAATCAAATTACCCCGTTGTATATCTTATATCCAAGTGTTAGTCATGTCATCTGTAGCCTAGAAGCAAACAAAACATACTCAGAAACGTTACATGTGTCCAGCAAGCGGGACATCGGAAGGCAGCCCAAAATCGAGGTATATGCTTTTGTACCGGCACCGTATGCGAACAGAAGTTTGCGCCAAGTGTATCCAAACCCAAAGCATCGGTGGATCCAGGATTTGCCGAAGTTATCCAAGGTGAGAGGTCACGCTCATGCTACTACGAGACTGACGTGAAACAGTAGAACGTCAGACGGGAGACACTTGCCTGACATGCATGATGCGCAACTCTGTTGACATCTTCGATCAAAAATGCCTCCCTCTCGAAATCTCGAACATTGCAAGTCCCCTTCGAGGTCTAGAGGGTGAAAAGTACACTATCAAAAGTGAATTGAGGGACGGGAAAGACGCGAGGCGAGGTGGATGGGCGAGAAAAAGAGGAAAGTCGCGAGAGCACGTGGTTGACGCGATCTGTGAAGTTATTAAGTCGCTGACGCTTATTCTCTCGCCACCGACTCGATTCTTGCTTGTTTCGCTTAGCCTGCCGTCCTCCTCCGCATCTTCAGACTTTCGAACAACCTCTATTTCCTACGACGTACTTCAAAATGCTTTACGTTTCCTTTGGTGCCAACCGAATGTCGTATGAACATTGAATTCTCCCGAGACTAGAAACCAATCACTTGCTATCTCGTTTCCATGTTAGTTTTACAACATCTTCCATTGTTCAAAGCTCACTGTTTATTCTTTCGACAGGTGACATTTTTCGTTTCATCTACCGCCTCACTATCAGCCGGACATGCTCTACTCGAGTCCCACCTCTCAACGCCTTCACTACAACATCGATGACGTCGGCGAGTCCTTGATTTTCGTCCATTTTCGAGGACTGCGGTTCATTTTATGACGTCGTGTTTAATGGGATGCTATTGGTGAGTGAACTTGAACTGGTTCTGAGAGTAAATTGTGCTGAGTCTCATGCTTGTATTCGTTCCAGGTCTAATAATGTTATTCTTTGAGGAATTTACGCAGCAGGGCCCTCATGATTTGCTGCATGGACCGGAAACCAACATCGGTCGACATCGACATATAACTGGCAAGACGTCCATCCATCCCGATGCCTCACATATGTTCCCATCAAAATGTCACGTCGATTCCTTGTATTCACTCTGAATTTCAGAACTTTCCTGTCATCACCACACGTATAATTTGAACAACCTTTGAATCCGGTGTTATTCGAATTTCGACCAGTTTCGAGTGCGGGGACATTTGCGCAGCCGGGTACAAGAATTGAATGGTATTTCGCCTATCACCGCACTCTCAGTATCGTCTCCGATATGGTGTTTGCCAAATGATTTCCAAGTGCAGAGCTGTCGTGCTATCAGCTGTTTTTCGTGTTCCTCGCCCGATTCAAGTTCTGGAAACGGGTACCAGCAATTCGAAATGTATGTATCTTGACCTTAATTTATTAAAATCCGATCCCCAGTTTCCTAGCCCCGAGGTCATTTTGAGTTTCGTTGATTTGCTGATTTCCCAATATGTGACTGGTAGCACGAGGATACGAAGACATCGAGCACTGGTGCGTATTTTTCAGGTTCGGTTTCTTCGGGAGTGACTCAAATTATATTAAATTTATTCAAGAGCGTTGATTTATTGTTTGCTTGATCAGTTGATCCACGCAGAGCGAACACACGAGTACAAAGGTGTACTCGATGGAACACGGCACGGAGGCTGGCAAGGTATCCAGTGCATCCGATCACCGCAAGTCAAGCGAAGCATTCAAGGTTTTTTTCTTCCCAGTCTAATCTCAGAGTTGGAGCTGACAGGATTACCCAGGAGACGAGGACAATGAATATCATTATCCGAACTGTTAATCTACGAAGTTCAAAGTCGCTGTATGTCAAAGTTACCGCACGCCGGAAATAACAACGTTGTCAGTCAGAACCGATCAACGTCCGATGTCTGCTTTGTTATCCTCTCTTCGTGTTCTCTCCGGGTCCTTTCAAACTTGAAACTCCACGCCGTTTCGGATTGGATTCCTTAAGCGGGGTCGATTTTGGGATCGAACTCCAGCGCCCTGCTTCATTCCCACTTCTCCCCTTCGTCCTCCCCTCCTCTTTTGACCTCTACTTCCTCACTCTCGACTCTGCTACTACCTAGTACGCTCTCGCTGGGTGCACGGGCCGGACTGCCTTAGTGCTGGCCTTGTGACTGTCACGCTTTCATCTTGATTGCTGCTTCATCGTCGAGCTCAGTGGTGAGCTCATCCGTTTTCTTTTTCTTTGATTTTATCCTCATAGCTTGTTTGGTAGTCCCTTTGCCATTGTTGTCGATCTCGATCTCGAAGATGGTGACGCGGTTCTCCCGCGTTCAAAAATGCAGAGGTAAGCTTTTTCCCCCTTGTGAGTGCCGTTGCCTTTTGTTGACGAAAATCCTTATCCGTAGCTATATATCAATCAATTGCATTGGTAGGACATGGGGCTGCTGGTGCGTGTATTGTCGTTTTGACGAATTTCTGTATTCTCAACTGCCTAGGTTTTTATAACCTGCCGTCTCCTCGAACAGTCGATTGACGCCTCTTGCCAGCCCGTTTTCGCGTGCAACATATCCCATAGTACGCCTTCTCAGTATCCTCTCGCTTGTCTCTGATGCCGTCATTTTAGGGTGAATCGACACGCCATCGACACATCCCCGACAAGCCCAATCAAGAGATGCCAATCTACCAACACCAACACGACCACCCACAAGCTCTACAGTCATGGCAGCTGTCCCGCCAACACTCGGCAAGCGTAGTGCCCCGGCTTGAGTCACAACGACTATTCAAGGTCCTTGTCTGTTAGTGCGACGTTTTCGCTGTGAATGAGGGGTTGATGGTAGTGTTATTGGTGTGGGATTTGAAGGTGCGTTGAGTTTACAATATTTTTTCTTTTTCGTTAGTATTCTAACAAGTAGGCTATGTACAGTGCGTGCACTCCCACCAACACCTGCGGCAGAGTCGTCGCACCCGGTGTGGATGTGTATCCTGACCGAGGACGAGCGACTTCTCTGCACTGACTCCCGCCCTTCAATACTTACGAAACGCGGCGCAATGGCTCAATTTATGACGACGAAGGATGCTGTGAATGAAGGCATGCTGGTATTATCAAGGTGTATTCACTTTACAAGGGTTTGCCGTTGGTATTCTAACAAGTAGCTTACGCAGAGTGCGCGCGCATCCACAGCAACACTCCCAGTCCGCACCCGCGAGATGGAGCTACCCTGTGAGGTTGTGCCTACTTGTACCCAAACACCGTCCTGCACGACGCCGGCTCTCCTTTCCTGCATTGCCTGGCATTGACACGATACGTGGCTGCCTGGTGAGAAGCTGTGATCGATGCGGCAGGCATGAGAAACGAAGGATGGGGGCCGACGGCTGACGATGGGAGGCGGGACGGGAGGCGGCAATTGCAGACGGACGAAGGGAGGTGCATGACGGCAGCAGGTCGATGCGGGCGGAGGGCGGATAGTGCATGAAGGGAGAGAATTCAAATTGAAGATGGCGGAGGAAGGTGATGTTGGCACACGTAGTCGTAGGTTTTGTACGCGTAGACGAGTTTGAATATCAGTCCGGAATGCATTTGTCGCGCGAGTTGGGGTTAATGTCTGTTGGGGATACATGGCAGCGTGTGTGGGTGAGCATACCTTGATTCCAGCCATAGCAGCGAATGTCAGTGTAGCACTGCAAGTCGTTCCTGTACACAACTCAGCTCAAACCCAGTAATCTGCCTTTAGCCGTACCTCCATCCATCTTGGCATCAATCACAGACGCGACATCCCTCCTCGAAACCTTGACAACCCCAGAATTCCCCTCCCTATCTGCCAACCTCTCAAGCTCATGTCTCTCCAAGCCAACCTTGACGCGTCCCCCAATAATCTCAATAGTAGCCAGGGCGCACCCCCGTGTATCGTATGATGTCTTCTAGGTCCGACGCGAGGGTGTAGTTGGTCGGGTAGGGGAACCCGTGTGTGATGAGGGTGGTTTCGAGGGCTACTATGGGTTGGTGTGTGGATAAGGCTTCTTCGGCTTCGGGTGGATATCGAGGGGAGCGGTATGGTGGTGGTGAGGGGCCGTGCTGTACCGGGCTCGAGAAGCGAGTCTTCGAGCGAGGCGTGCATGAGTCAGGATGGTCATGGTTGGTATTAGAGAGCGTTCATGCGTTCTGAGCATGAGAGGGCTGAACTATCGGCCCGGTCTCAAGCATGACAACTCCCAACACCTCCATAGACATCGCTCTAGACGTCCCAGGCGGGGTCTGCTCGATAACTTCACAGCCTCTGGACGTTCAGCAAATTGTCAAATATGTAGGCCCGGACAATGCTGCGGGCGCTACTGCCGTTTTCATTGGTAAGGTCGACTCGCTCTTAGCTTGGTTCTGATATCCTTATACTACTGCTCAGGCACTACGTGAAATTCATTCAAAGGTTGGTAGGAGCTCATCGGCACTATGGTGAAATGCACATCTATGTGCTAGGAAGAACCATTACACGCCTTGAATACCAAGCTTATTCGAAATTGGCTATCAAGACTATGGCTAGTATAATTCAAGACGCACGACAAAGCCTAACGTGCTCGGAGCATCACCCAGAATCTCAAAGCTCCCTCATTCATTGCGTCGTTCATCACCGGATTGGTGTCGTTCCCGTTGGAGAACCGTCAATAGGTACTGGCACAATCCTCACCCATCCCTTCAATACACTAACTCAACCCCCACTGCCCGGTTATCGCCGTCTCCTCTCCCCACCATAAAGAGGCCTTCGTAGCATGCGGGAGGATCCTCGAAGAGGTGAAACAAAAAGCACAGATTTGGAAACGAGAATACTACGAGGGAATTGGATGACAGCGAAGCAGAGTGGAAAGCTAACACATAACAAGTCCAGGAAACCATGAATCATTTAAGGTACCTTCAGCCATTCTTTTTGGACTGTATCTAATGAGCCCATCTGTGAAGTCCTGTCTTCTTCATCGCTCAACGAGCTGGTATCTCCCCTCGTTCGCCATCCTTTCCGATCTTTTCCAGGTGCCTGGTCATTCTTCTGTGTAACTTGATTTAACTTCCCTCCAATACCATCGCGCCATGCCAACATTAGCCTTGATATCTATAGCTCACCAGCCTATTCCCTCCACAGTCTTGGCCTGTGTCACCATCTTTGCCAATCTCGGCATCCAAGTGACGGCTAATGAAGAAACGACGATGGAAACAAAGATGAGTCGACTCATACTCGGATACATTGCGTAACGCCCTGTCTCTGGAGATGGATCGAGTACCGGAAAGCTCCGGAAGAGATCGGGGATCTTTAAGCTCATTGTGGGGTATGTGTTGTTGTATTCTCTTCCCTCCCTTTTCCGATCGATGCCCTATTTCCAGGATAACTTTCTCCTATCTTATATGACCGTCCTTCTGGCTCTTATTTCTATATGATTTGCAAAGCTGGTATCCCTATGAAAATCTCTACTGCGATTCAAATATCAGGATCCCTCAGCATAGTAATGTTCGGAACTAGCATCAAAACATTCCTAGATTGTGGAGCAAGATCTGCTTAAGATTCAGGTCATGACAGAACAAACTTGTGTTGGTGGGCGCCTCACTTGGGTTAATGAGCATCTTGATTCTCTTCCCGGACAGAACCTAATTCAACAGAACACATATCTGAGAAGCTTGCAGTTTGTATAAGTGGCTTCCCTACAATAGAGGCTTTTCTCCGGCAATATCTCACATCGAGTCACGTCGCACTTGTGAGTTGAAACGAGTTGGAAATGTCAATGTACACGATGGTTCATGAAGTCACTGAAGACGCATGAGGATCCTGGTTTGACTTGATACTGATGGACATCTTTGCAGCAGCCAATGAGTATGGCCATGGGCTGCACTGTTTATAATGGTAGGGTTGGTACATGTTATTCTCATAACCCACTACCCCGTTGCGCTTGCTTTCTCTCATGGTGGCTCAGGCAGATATTCCACCAGATCTTACTGACAAAGACAAAGCTCTTGTGCTTCAACTTCTTGATGCTTCCCTGAACAACCAAATTCTCTATGCGCTATTACATGGTGGGCAACAGTGTTTAGTGCCTTGACATGTAGGCATTAATTGATGACAGGTATATACACCGGAATTCTTGCTGTTACATTGTGGAATATATGTGAGCCAGGAGCATCTCCACTACAGCATCCAAGCTGATGTGAGTGACACAGTCATCAATAAACACCGGCCAATCCAACGAGTGGCCTTGGTTGTTGTTGTTATTCTCCTCCATGTTCTGATTACTATCTCTTTCGCTGCCCAATGGTCGTTTGTATACTCCGCTGTTGCGACTGCAGCCTATTTACACATGTAATTTTGCAATCTAGAGTGTTTTACATGCATACTGAGATATAGTGAGCGAGCGGACTAAAACTACGCGTCGACACTAATGCTACGCGGTGCAATGATATGGAATATAACTTATGGCATAAGAAGCAACGGGATTCTAAACAGGACTTAGTCACTGCACTGTACCTGATGGGCATGCATGATGAGAAGGCCAAACCCTATACCCAATGCCTTAGGCTCTAACTTACAAGCATGCTTGTGGGAGCTAGATAAAACCTTGAAGATTGCAGTGACACTGAGAGTACTTAGCACGCTCGCTAACTGTGATGTGTCGTACCTGAAAATCCAGGGAAATCCTTAAGCGAGATAACAGATATCACCGGCACGAGCTTGGGCAATGGGCTTCAGCCCAAGTCTGTGAGCCCGCGTTCCATTGTTCTGAGTCCCATTGTTCGAAGACTCACTTGTTGCCATGTCTACGAGAAGCCTCTGTGAATCCAAGAAAGAAGTCCTGAACGACATACGCCAGAACTGATAGTTCCGTGCGCCTAGACCTGTCGGTCGCTAGAGAACAAGCCCATGGGTGTCGGGAGAGCACCTCTTGGCACGTGTTTAGCGAGCTCACTATAGAAATGAGACTAAAACTGGGAAGTCCAACTCGGATGCCCAGTAAGGCGGCAGTGGCAACGTGCTACGCATGTAGGAGTCTGGGTACTGTGTGATGTTTGTAATTCTAATTCCCCTGTAGTATAAGTAGGCTGGTTACAGTAGGTAGAGGCAAAGTTTCGAGCCCTTGAGTTCCCATGCACGCGTTGAAGGCAGTACTGTAACAAAGGATCAGTTTGTGACTTCGAGCTGTGCATAGAATTAGCGAGCTCACTCAGAGAAATATGAGATACCCTTTTGATAAGACTTTTGAGAACTTAGTCAGAGTGAATACGAATCAGTGACGCTGTTTCTGTTCTGTTAAGTGTGATAAGTCTGTTCGGAGAATGTGTTGAAGTGGAAATCTGAGATCTGTTCTGTTCTGTTCTGTTTCAGTCTGTTCTGTGTCAGTTCTGTTCGAAGTTCCATTTCTGAATCTGTTTTCCGAGCGCTTCTGAAGTGTTCTTGAGTTGAGATAACCTGCTGGAGTTAGTTGGAGAACCCCTACATACAGTTGTGTAGCAAGTGGGCTAAGTCAGTGCTTGCCTGTGGTGTTCTTTTAGCGAGCTCACTAAAGTTTCAGCATGTATTGCCTCTGTTTCTGTTGGGATCAGTGTCCCTTGTGTATTATAACTCAAATCTGCCTTGAAGGTTGCGTTGTGCCAGTGAACGACCTTCCTGTAAAAAGTTCCTAGACTTAGGAATTCACTAGAGAAAGCTTAGCTTCACTAAGAGTGCTGAGAATAAGAGAAACTCTTTGAGATACTGAAGTATAGTTGGATCACATTAGAAATAATCGCTCCCCCTAGAACTTATGAGGGTGGTTGTAGTTTGTGTAGTTGTGTGAGTGTGTGTGTGGGTTTTTGAGGTTCGCCTTTTAGCCCACTCACTATTTCACAGGTGCCCACAGCCAGCCTCATCACCGCATTCATTGAAAATGGGCAAAGTTTTTGGACAATATTCTCGAAGCTTAGCAGTATGAACCAAGCTGCCTATTGGGAGGAGGGTATTCCAGCCTGTATGAGTACCCTTCTTGCAGACTCATATATTGTGTGTGCTACTTTGCTGGTGATTATCCATGTCAGCTTACCATCATTTTGACTCTAGATTTGGTGCTGTTGGATGGTCTGGGGACAGCGCTGGATTATTGTTCTGCTTCCAATCCTTTCCCTAATTTCTGCAACTGGTAAAGTGTCTGATCTCATCTATCCTTTTCATATACTCAACTTCTGTGTAGTTTCAAAAATCCTTGATATACATCATGACTACTTCAATAAAACTGACTCAGTATTCATGGTGGTCTACGTATCCTTTGTCCTGGTAACAACATTATGGTGCACACTGCTTATCATTTTCCGCATTTTGACTGTTACCGGGGTTAGACATGGAGCAGGCAGTCGACTGAGAGTTTATTACTGTTTTATTGAAGTGCTAGTGGAATCCTCTGCTCTCTATTCAATAGCTCTGATTCTATACTTGGCTTTCCGCATTTGTGGTGGTTTTGAACAGTATTACTTTGATGCCATAGCTGCTATCATGAAGGTGCGTTCATGATATTAAAACTCATTATTTATTAAGCACCTTGTGTAGGGAGTTGCACCCACACTCATTGTTGGCAGAGCAGCAGCAGGACACACACATCCACATGAAGAACATGACGAAAGTTCAACAGTGTCTACCATTCATTTCCAGACATCTTCACAATCTTCTCAGCTTTCGCAACCTTCCATGGCAATCTTTCAGGACTCCAACACCATGCAGAGTGCAGTCTTTGAAGTGGATATTGAAGCTCAAAGGAAGCAGTCAGATGAGCTTATGGTAGTTGTTGAAAGGATAGAATAGAGCTCATAGCTAACATCTGAAAGTCGGGGTGAGACTGGAGACTAAATGTTGGGATTTGCAACTTCAAGCTCATACTGGAAGATTCCTGAAGCTTTGGCTTACTCATTTGTCACGATACTTAGATATATTTAGTACTTTTGGTAGAATATTCTAGATACTTTGTGTAGTATATAAGGAGCTCATTAGGAGCTCTAGTAGCTAACAATTTGGTATTATACCTACTGCAAGCCTCCCACTGCAATAATTCCAACACTAAATTTAGACTGTAATTTTTTGCTTGCTATCCTTTTGATTATCGTACTCTCTACTTTATTTTTCAATCAACTATAGAGCATCTAAACTTCTGTAATCCCTCCTTCCCTTTGGTTCTTTAGGCATGAGCTTGTAGGACAGTCCTAAGGAGTGATGTTGTTCCTACATTTTCATGAATATAGGAACTCCAGAGAATGTACCCATAACCTAAGCCATACTCTGTTCTCCATTGTCACCTGACTCAGGTGTATTTTGCAGTGTGTCAATTGGGGAAAGCTTGCTTCGAGGATGCATCATATTTGGTGTAGCATCGTAGAGGAAGCATATATTACAAGACAGCTACACCTAGCCCTGAGTAATGTGTGAAGAAAGAGGAATCGGGATTAGCTGAACCCAGCTTGTTTCTTGCTTTTGTGCAAGATGTCAAGCTCCTGCCCTGCGCTTCACCCCACCATCTGAGAACTTGAAAGTTTGCAAGATCCACCGCCTTTCAGAACTCGAGCTAGCATCTTCCGACGGGATATCTGGAGTTTGATTCTACTTTCCCTTAACGCATACTTTGCTATGCTCGATATCACCTTCGATGATTCACTCTCATCCACAACAGACGTCTACTATCCCAGATCCCTGGCAGACAACAAGCACTACATCCATCATGCATCAAGCTCACACCCCTCCAAATGCACCATTGAACGTGAAGATGTTGGTATCATTGTGAGTAATCACCTTTGCAGCTCATCCATGATCGTGATCGTGAATCTTTGTCTTAGTGTACGTGTCCAAGTTTGAAATTTAACCACCCAAAAGTGCCGGTGGACATGCCACGAATCAAGGATTCTCCTCAGTACCAGTTTCCAGATACAACTTTGCGCCGGTGGTTGGTGCAGGCAATATTTGGGACGAAGTGTATGCAGTGCTCAGGGTGTGAACATACTCAGGGGGGTGTTAGTCACCGGCCCGTACTTTCTCCTGACAATCGGAGGGCAGGATGGTATGATTCTGTATATGACACTGGGTGCCCAGCCTTGCATATTCACGTCTGTCACACCGGTGAGTACGTGTTAGTCTTGTATGGGACATTGATTATCTGAGGTGATCCAGGCATGGAATGATGTCAATCTTACATGACTCACTGAAAAGATCAAATTGCCACTTGTATTGTGAGTTGAAGATATTAGCTGCTACCTCGCTTTGATGTTCATTATCCTCAACTTCAAGTGGACACGTACGAGCTACAACAGCAGGATCATTGTCTCTAGACAACTGCCATCCATTTGTACATGGAAAGCTCATAGTACGTTAATTTCCCCTTTGCCTAGCCGAATCGTGACTCACAGACGGACGGACTCTAGTTCATGCACAATGGTGGAATCGTCGATTTCCACCTGATCAAGCGAAAGTTGCAGAGTCAACTGCCTGATGTCGCTTTTGGCATGGTCCAAGGCAATACAGGCGAGTCATACCCAAAATTCCCTCCATTTCCCAGCTCACGCAGCCCATTAGATTCTGAATGGGCCTTTGCACTCTTTCTATCAAAGGTAACCTGAATTCTATGGCTGTTGTTTTTTAGTTTCTCATCTCCAGCCAGCTTCCAGACCCGAACACCATGACCTTTAGCTCCCAGACATTGTGAAAGGCAATGCTTGACACGATTGCTTCCTTGAATACCTTTGCGGAAGAAGCTGGGATCACTGAGGTGTGCTCGATGCTGTTTCTCTTGAGGTTCATGGATCTGATTGTGCTGTTTTGCTAGCTGAGTCTTATGAACTTTTGTGTGATGGATGGGGACACTGTTGTTGCTACATGGTATATCTCATTGTGGAAAGATGAAGCAGCCTCCCTGGTAAATATGCTTTGCTAAGCTCTATCCAGTTAATGACTGATGCGATCGCAGTGGTTCTCGTCTGGCACAACATTTAGTGAATATGCAGATGGCGGTCATTATAAAATGTTGAAAGCTGACAAGCGAGAGAACATAATCATGGTCCATCCTTTTAATTGTTTGCGTAATTTACATATCCTTCCAGACTGCGAGCGAACCACATACGTTTGAACGAGGTGAGGACTGTTTCTGTGATTCACCTATCGTGCTTATCCTCATTCCTTAGCTGATTGGATGGAAATAGAAACCAATACCATGGTCATCATCATGCCCAAGATGAATCTCTTACAGACACCGATAATCGACCAATTTTACGTCACACCTTCAGATCCTAATTCTGTTCGAACTACCGAGTTTGCACGAGAAAAGGGTTGCTTACGCCTCAGAAAGAGCTATCTTTGCCATAGATTATATAGAATAGTATATTGTTGTTGTTGTACATACAAATTGGAATCTCACTAGCAATTACCTGTGTGGGGCATGATAGTTGATCATTACATCCAACTGTACGATGAGTCAGCAGGAATGTGATTAGAGCTATCTTGCGAAGAAGGGAAAGAGCACAAGTTGTCCCGTTTCCGTTTCTTGAGGAGCGGGCTGTCATCATTTGAATAGCTAGCGGTGTTCCTATTGCAATGAAGTCAGTCAAAAACGAAGCTTTCCTCTTCAAGTAGGGTGAGATAAACTTACTTGGAGGGAGAACCATATCCTTTGATCTAGAGCGCAATGATGGCACAAACGGCAGTCCCAAGTACATGACTTTGTCGAGTTCGATCTCAAAGACCTTGGCAAGACCTGTCTTGTCATGAATGATACTGTGAAAGAGGCCCGAGAGCTTTCAGTCACTGGCCCGGCGAGGAGAATCCTTAGTGTCATAGCGAATGGGAAACCATAAACCCAGAAAATAGCAGCGGCAGTTTCAGGCTGTTGAATTTGAGCCAAGGTAGAAATGCTTGTAGCTCGAGCTGGTTCTCTGGCACAACGTCTCTCTCGAGGGTTCAGGACACCTGTTTCGGGGAGACTCGGGGAAGACGGTGTGAGAGTAGAGGCACTTGTGCTTGGCCTGCTATCAGATACATCAGGAAAGGCAGCGCAAGGGGAGGTGAGTAAAGAATGTTCTTATGCTTTGGATTGAGGGCGTCTCCTCATAGTAGGGGCAGGCAAGTTTGTTCAAACATTTAATATATCAGTATTGGAGCGGAATGAAGGGGAGAGAAATAGGTTGCAGTCGTCTGGGAATGCGATTGAAAGCCATGACATCGATTAAAGGGATACAACTTGTTTACATCGCGGGCTGCCACCCGCCGGTAGGTGCAATTTGCAATCAGTAGTTCTAGCACATCTTTGATGTCGTCGAGGGTGTCGAGGGAAGCTTTGTAGGGCAAAACAAACTCAGATCAAAAGATGCAAGGAATAGCTTGGTAGGGGTAGTACACAGGAGGAAGGGACTATTTTGGAATGCCAGCAAGAGGCATCGTGGTAGCAGGAAGTTTTGAGAGCATAGTGGATGTTGAACATTGAATGTTCAGATTGACATCAGTTGACAAGAGGGAATTTACCACGGCCCCTGTTGTAGTCATGTTGATCATGATTCTTTTGTCCCGCATCGACTGCAGTGGCATGCGTGTACCGACAAGGCTTTAGACGCGAACATGTCATTTAGCCCTTGGATTCTCTGGAGCACACTCTCCCATACTGCCAGGTAACGTTTCTTGTAGCTGACCTAAACATTTCTCAACCATGTTCGCAGACTTTCCACCGCCCTCCAGATCCTCATCTTCCTCTCTCTCACATTAGCAACACTCTCCAAACCTGCATTCCTCCTGCTCTCTCTCCTCCTCATCATACATGCTGCCATCCACGGCACCCACATCCTCTTGGGTTACTCATTGCTTCGGCTGGGACGTATGTGGCTAGTGCTTGGTGGATTGTTAATGTATGTTTGCTTCTTGTGCTTGTGGGTTCTGACTTACATGCACTTGCTAGGCATACCCTGCAGCTGTGTCTTCCCCACTGTCCTCGACGTTTCTTGGAGTTGCAATTACCATGTTGCTCTTTCTTATGTTCATCGGGTTCTTTTTGAGGCAGACCAATATCATTGAGTCTTCGGGCTGGCTTTGTGGATTTGACCAGGAGCTGTCTTCAGACCCATCTTATTCTCAGTATGTACTACTCTACCTTTTGGAGAGTTGACAGGACTGATTTTTGTGATAGCGTCCCACTCCTATCAAACTTGATTCCTCATCTCCAGGCTTTGCTCAACTTTGTTACAAACATGCTGCCTAAACCAGTGCTGGTGGCCTTGTTGTACTGGCTGACTGTGTTGCAGTTGGCTTCAAAGATCTTGCCAGGTATTGGTGCTGATAGTCCGGACGATGCAGAAGGACATTCAGTTAGGACTTGGATCATCACAGGCATATGCACCACCACCGAGAGTGAACCCAGTCACACCAATCCCCATTACCCTCCCTCCGAGTACGTTCACACCCTGAGTAAGCACCGCATAGACGTCATCCCAAATATTACAAGCACCAACTACCACCGTCTGTGCTGCAGAGTCGTACATGACTGTTACGGTTTATTCATTTTTCTTCGTATTACTCAGCTTGATTACTCATATGCGATTGCCACAGACAGTTTCTCACATACTATTATTAGCGTATCCAAAGTGTATTTAAGTAGAGCCTCAGCTGGTCTAAACCCCAGCTTCGGCTAAGGTTTAATCTACCCAACATCGAACTCCTTGTTTCGTGTCTATCTGTCCCCAATTGACTTCATTTATCACCTTTGACTTACTAGAGTATCATCCACCGAAGTGCGAGTGGTGATCCTAGTTCGATCTAAGTTGATTATAGTTGGTTGATAACATTTAGCCGAAGCTCGACACACGTTGCCCAGTGTCACGTCAGAGCACAATATGCTGCCCAACATTTTCCCAACCCTACTTCTTGCTGTGGTACTGGTTTGGGTGGTACCCTTTGTGCTACTCGACCCAACCTTCCCAATCCTGACCGTCATCCTTGTGGTGGTCATTATTCGGATTTATATCGCGGCCCCGATCCTAGCAGCTCTGCTCCTAGTAGCCTACACCGGCTACCTACGAGTTTGAGAAATCTGCTATTATATCTCTACACAGTCCGGCTATTCGCAATCCTAGCAGTATTACTGTTAGCGACGACTAGCTCTGTGACACCCGAATTCCCCTCAATAGGCGACTTCTCGTTGATGACCGGTTCCAACTATGAAACCGACCTCAGCCTGATCATTGCCATACTCATCACACTCACCATCCTTGTCATCTGACAGCTCGTATGCCACTTACTGAATTGTTACCAACTATCGCAGTAGCTTTTGGGTTGCTCGCAGGAGCACTGTTAGCGCTTGCCATTTGGACAGTCTATAGGTGTTGCATTCGTGCTCGAAGAGCAAGGCTCCCATTCCACTACATTCCACACCTTCTGATCCCATATCCTATGGTTCCTTATCCGCACATTCCGGTGCAACCAACGCTTCATGATGGACAACCCATCACACCTAGAGGAGAATCCTCAGGTTCCGGAGAGTCTTCCCCAACCCCAAGAGCAGCCTCTGTCGACATCACAGACATACGAGGCATCGACATACTCGGTGACATCCACGTCTCGCCCCCAGGAATCATTGACCTCCCTCCCGTTGGAGGAGAGGAAGGAGGGTCTCTGGACCAAGGCAAAGAAAGCGATGTCGATACCAAGTTCGAAGGGGACGAGCTCACAGATCTCGAAAGAATCCGCCTCCAAGACCTCCTCGACGGCCTCATCATGGAGAACGAAGGGGATGAGGACGATTCTGGAGTCAGAAGGATCGACCACGAGAGAGGTTACCATGGCGGAAGCAGCTATGAGGAGAGTGACAGAGGGCTCGGCCTTGGGGCCTCCGCTGCAACTACCACCTGTCCAGCTGGAGCAGACCCCTATAATGGTCGAATCATGCCAGGCACAGGCAGAGAGTCAGGAGGGATCCCTGTGGCGTGGCACCCCTCAACAAGTTGGGTCTTCACAGGGGGGGAAGAAACTCCTGTGGCCAGGACCTCAGCCCAAACCCCAGGGCCCGAGGACACCCCTGTCGCGAGGACCATTGCCCTCCCCACCGAGACAGAAGAGCGTATCTGGAACACCATCGAAGCGTACTCCCCGGATGCTCACCCCGATCTATACACAGAAGGAGCTGCCACCGACACAGTCGAAGAAATTGAGTGGACAGAATACCCAGGAGACACCGAGGAAGGAAGGAGGATACTTCGCAAGTTTGGAGGAGGTCCCTCCTCCGACCAATTCCCCGGAATCCCCTCTTTCACTCCGTCAGTTGCGCTGCGAGCCTTCGCTGTGCCCCTCCCTTTCAATCAGAGACCCTGGACTGACGAGTACAACATGCTTGTCCAGTCCAACTTCAACCTTCGAGCTGCCCGGGCAACCCCAGAAGGAGCAGCCCTCCTGGACCGAGGAAGAACGGCAAGCGCACGGACTCGGAATGCCGAGCGCCAAAGCCGTATGAAACTTATCCTTCACCCTTCCCATCGAGCCAGATGCAACCGACGATGAAGCGTGACGAAGAATTGGGACCGCAGAGCTACGACTCCACAAGGAGTCCCGCCGAGCCAGAGATGACCTTGAGCGACACGATGAGATTATGCAGGACTTCCTCTTCGAGGTCCTCGATGAGGACTGTTCTGCCCTATCAGAGTGGCGGAACCAGTATCATCTCTGGGAGAGACATAGGAGAGAGCATCCGAGGCCGTGGTCTACCAGAGGAAGTCGACAATGGAGCGCAGAAGAAGTCGCCCAGTGGAATGCCGAGCAGGCTGCCTCTCAGTGCGATCATGAGGGAGGTCATGAGGGACATTCAGAGGATACTCACTGAACCAATAACAGTGGTACCCCCCACCCTGAATCTCCTCACCTGGAACAACCTTTACGAGCTAATAGCCGAGGACATGGTGATGGACCTTCAGTGGTTACTCACGGAAGCAGGAGAAGATTACCTCAATGCTCGCCTCGACGGAGACGAGTACTTGATGAAGAACATCGTAGAAGTCGATACGTGGCACCGGGCCATGATAGTCTGGAACATTTGTCACCCCGAACACCCTAAGCAGGGCTGCGCAGCATACCAACGACTGGCGCCGATGCCACACCCCCTCGAAACCATGAGGTTTGCGGCAGCAGGAGGCGGCGACAATAAAGATGACGGATGGGCAGATGAGGGGGCTGGACCCTCTAACCCCAACAAGGGGAAGGGGTCAACGGTACCACCGCAACCTCCAAAAGGACCACCTCCTTTACCCCTGAACTATCCAGGGGGGTACCTGTCTCCAGGGCATAACCCCCATCTCTGATTGTTACCCAGACCGCCCAATCCACCAGTCCTGCCAGTCCCGCCATCGCCACCAGACCCGATTCCTCCATGGCAACTCGCTCCAGGGGCTGCCAATAACCCTTGGAACGATGTAAAACCCAAGTTAATCACTCAGCCCGAATACTTTACGGGGGTCTCCTCAGACATCAACCGTTTCCTTCACCACTGCGAGATGTATTTTCAGGTGTTCCCGATGTATTACACGATGAATGACCAGGGGCAGAACCCCTACCAGATCACGTTTGCTCAGGGGTACTTGAGGGGAAAGGCACAGGAATGGTGGGGCGACCAGTACTATCGCTACCGAGATGCACGTGGACATTGGAGGTTTCCAATGTGGGAGGAGTTCTCACACGATTTGACCATCCAATTCCGTGAAGTAGCGGAACTGGCCATCTGGAAACAGGAATGGAAGAAGCTCCACCAAGCGGACTTCAAGTCGGCGATAGAATTCTTCGTGGCGTTTGAGAGACTAGCCCACAAGTGCGAGGAGTTCGGGGATGAGAAGCAGATGTTCGAAGCCGTGGAAGCTGCTATATGACCCTCGGTTCGAAATACGGTTATGCATGGGGACAATACGCGCCCCACAACCTATGCAGAATGGAAGTGGCGCGTCGAAAGGATCGGCGCCAATTATCGCTACAGCGCCGCCCAAAACCTGGGCAATAAGTCCTCCTCAAACCAAAGTGGCAGTTCAGGTCGAGGCAACCAAAATCAGTCATCACAGAAGGGTGGAGGATCAGGCGATAAGAAGGATGCCACGGGAACCACATATGGTGGAGCAGGGCAGCCGATGGAGATTGATAAACTGCGGAGCAAGAAGCGATGCTTCAAGTGCGGAAATACCGGATGGAGCTGGGACCATAAATGTCCAATGGACAAATCGAAATGGATCCCCATCAAACTCCCTCCTCGCAAGAAAATCCCCGCTCAGCGCTTATGACAATTACTTGTGGAGGCAGAGAAGGAAGAGAATGGGAAGGGCACGAAGGTCGAGGAGGTCAAGGAGGAGAAGTTGTCAAAAGACGAGCTGGCATCAAAATAAGCGATTCGACGGCGTCAGCAAAGGACTTAGTTTCATCTGGTGCGCGCTCCTGTAATACTAGTCGGACTTATGCTACATATGTAGGTACTCTGTACGAACAATATACCAACTTTTTCGCCGTGTTACCCATAGAAGAAACTAAGGAAGATGAATCGCAAAAACACAACAGCGTAGGAGGGGATTTCCACCACTCTACGCAGCCAGCGTCCAGCAATGAACCCCTAGGGGCTGTCCGACCTCCGGAACCCCCGCTTGACCGAATGGGGAAAGTTCTGGAGTACCCAGCGAGCGCCTCAGGTCAAGACAAGACTAGCGCCAGACGTGGTTGCGGTCGCCCCGGCAGGGAGAACTGGCCAACGACCCTGACTGACGGGCCTTCACTCGTTGTTCCTCCAGTCAGTGGTGGAAAAGCAGCTGAGGCTGGGAACCAAGGGGACCACCTACACTCAGTAGTGGCCTCACCTGCAAATGGTGCCGACCCCCTTGGGGAGCCAACATGTGTGCGTCCGCCTTGGGTTACCGAGAGTACTGCCGGGGTTAGGAAGGAGGATAAGTATGGATCCACAGTGGGGGTTACAACGCCGAGCACAAGCGCCCATGGCCAGGGCCGAACACAGGGCAGCGCACCCTCCTCCACCAACTCGACGGAAGGTGACCAAGTGCTGCCGAGGGGCCCCTTTCGGCCTGGTGACCAAATGCCACCTCGAGGCAAGAACCCTTGCATTTCGATAGAGGAAGTAGAAGACGAAGAAGCCTACCTTCGGTCTGACATCCTGACTACGACCCCAAAGGGGACGTCTTCTGTTACTGCTGAACCCGAACTGGCCCCCGAAGCCAAGAGGGCCATTCTCGACATGTACTATGAACCCTTTGGAACGCATTGGACCTGCCGTGCACTATGACTTGCAAAGAATGAAGCAGCCACATTCTCTGCGCTAAAACAGTGGGTGCATCCGCATAGGGGCAGGGAGATAACGGTCGAACTATGGGATTCGCTCAAAGAGCAGCCAGAGACGGCGACAGAATCCAGGGAAAAGTGGGAGTGGATGGAGGACCTAAAAAAGCCCCCCATGTACATACGAGGAAGGAAGGGACGCAATGTATCCATCAATATGCACTTGGAAACCTTAGACACTCGAGAGACGTTCGCACTCCAGACGCTAGTAGATAGCAGGGCCACGGGAAGTTCCATAGACCGCACCTGGGCCCACGACCACGCCCTGAATCTCAAAAAGGCAGCCCGTTTGGTACCGGTCTACAATGCCGATGGCACTAGGAAC